AAAGTATGAAAAACCACTTACAATATTACAACATATGAGTTATTCTCAAAGTTTCTCATGTTTCAAAGTACAGTGTCTAAATAACTTTTTCCACTTCCAACAAAAGAAATTATCTCCTTCAACCGTGGTTATTAACACATTTGATTCTAAGGGATACACCACATGGTTAACACCATTTTATATTTTGCAGAAAGTAACCATGTAACATAATATGGTGGGGAACTCAGTAAACTTCATGTGTCAACAATGCTGGTGCATTATAATTATATTTTTTTGAAGTTCAGATATAGCTCCATTTGCATATCTATTAATTTCTGCCTTTTATCTTTAAGGCATACTGTGGTAAAAAATTATGAAAAACAATCTAGTCCAGTTGTCTTCATGTCCAAGAAATTTTATTTCACTGGTTTTCTCAAACACCGGTAATTCAGATTATTTATCAATTTCACTGTATTCTAAAGGCAATAAGATCACTTAGTGAAGGCAATTAGGGAAGACCCGCCAATAGAATAATTTGTATGATTATTACTCTCAATATAATTTTCATTACTCAAACTAGACAACAGTCCAGGAAAAAATCAAAGTCCTCATCAGAAGAATCCAGTTCCAATTCATAAGTCAAAAATTCTTGAACTTCTGTTGTGTCATAGTGAATTTTACACCTATGTCTTCTAAACATCTGTATATGTCACTAACAGCACAAACACTGGCAAAGATGTACATTCTGAATGTAATTTACAGTGCTCACAAGTACGAATATCCAATCACTTCCTGGAAAAATTCCAAATACAGTAAAACCCTGTTTTTACCTTCCCGCATTTTACGTCTACATAATTTATCATTTGGTCCCATCATAAAGCCCATAGTTACAATGCATTCTCTTCCTGCAATTTATAACTTGATATGAAGAATGCTTCCTGTCTTTTATGTAATTTTTTTATTTTTATTTTACACTTTCTCATATACATACATATGATACGTAGTATTATGTTATGTAATGCTGTGATACAAAACAGCGATTTTTTGACAGAAAATTTCATACTGATACAGAAAAAAGGGGATAAATCCTGTACCAATATGTAGTAGTTTACTACATAGTATATATGTAACAAACTCGCAAAAGCGTCGAGTTGTTTCAGATCAAACGAGGAATATCAATTTTGGAAAAAATCGGCTGACGATTTAGGCATTTGCGTTAACCACAGACAATTTGCTGTCAATCAATTTTTGCTGTTTCAAGGACCCCTAAGTAATGGATTCAGGCTACACCATGTGTTAGAGGAAGTAATTAACTATAAACAAGAATATGATTTATACACTTTTATTACCAGGGCCCATCAATAAGAGATTTTCTGTCAAAATTTTTGGAGTTTTCTAGCGCACGGTTACACTTAATCTTCTTACGAAGGATGAGAAAGTAAAACAGAGCCACCATTGCAGTAAATAAAGAAAGTACTTGCATAGCCTATTGTTTTTCAACTTTCCTGCATTTTTCACATTTTCATTGGTCCCATAAAAAATGTAAAAACTGGGTTTTACTGTACTTTCACAAAATAAAAGCACTCCATGTTTTTCCTGTGACCAACTTAATAATATTAAAAAGTGTATTCTAGGTGCCTATGAACATCCAAAAGACCTTTATTGCCTGTCAAAAGCAAGAAACGTAGATGGACGTATGCCATACATAGGACACGGCAGTAAAATGAAGGTGATGGATCAGATACGCCTGTAGGATTGAAAGTGATAAATAATACAAAAATTAATTTTACCTGGTTAAACCAAATTCAAATAATGATTCTGTTAACATTAGGGCTCTTCAATCACGGACATGGAAGCGAGGGACTTCTAATGAGTAGATAGCAGATAATGATGAAGTGAATACATCCATCCATCGATATTATATATATATATATATATATATATATATATTATTATTATTATTATAACACTGTTCGACAATACATAAAAGTTGATGATTAGTGACAAGACTACAGTTTGGTGAAATGGCGGACAAATTTAAGTGTGATATTTGTTCTAAAGAGATTGAAGCACTAACAAAACATGCGATTTGTGATAGTTGTTCGTGTCATATTCATATAGATGTGATGATATTTCACGGACTGAACAAAGAAGCATAGAATTGAAATCGGAAAAGAAATTGCTATATCTCTGTCCCAAATGCTAAAAGGTCTGAGATCAGTTCCAATGATGCTACAGTCAATGCCATCTTTTGAAAACAAATTCACAAAGATTGACAAACTTACCAAGTCATTCAATGAATTTCAAAATAATGTTACTGAGACTTTAGTATTATTTGAAAATCATTTATCAAAAATCGAAACTGATAAGAATGTCTCCAACTTAAATTCTACAGACGTCATCGAAGAAATTTCCCTACGCCAGAAAAAAGAAAAAATATCATCTTCTGATGAATCAAGGAGAGCGAATAGTCAAGATTTGGCAGAAACAATCGCACACGGATGAAGAAGCCCTTGTTAATATATAAGCAAAATTCAAGAAACAAGATAGGACCCATTCCAAAATGTGAGAATCAATTCAAAAAAAGCAAGACCAAAAGCCAAATGCGAGTTACATTGCTTCAAGAATGTGACATCAAAATACTGGAGAAAAAAATCAACTGTCAAAGTGAAGGTTTCATTTCAAGCCGACTACACCAGAAACCAGAGGATTTGAATTTAATAAGATAAAAGCTGAAGTAAACAAACCTGAAAATCTGGGAAAAAAACAAATTAAATTCATAAACGGTGTACCCCGCAAACATGACATCAAAGATGACAAAAATGATGATTTGACTTCTTCATCTAGTCAACATAAACATAGAACATCTATCCCGAAAAAGTAGAAAAAGACGTTATAATCTACTATCAAAACGTCAGGGTACTTCGGACTAAGCTTGAAATTCTCAAAGATGCACAACTTCAAACTCCCAGACCTGACGTCATCATCTTTACCGAGACCTGGCTTCATGCAGACATTCACAACGGCAAACTCAATCTTCAAGGATACAACATACACAGACAAGACAGAGAATCTCAACAAAGAGGTGGAGGAATACTCATAG